GAACACTCACGTTGAAGCGACGTTGAATCTCTCTTGTCCTGCCCAGGCGACGGACCGCGACTACGACCTCGCGGACGCCGCGGCGGCGACGGCCCCGCCGGAGCCGCCGGCGCCCCCGGGCCAGGGCGCGGAGGACGTCGACGACGACGTCGGCGAGGACCCCGCCGGCGCCGAGGAGCTCCAGACGCACCCGGACTCGACGACGTTCGAGGGCACGGAAGGCGCGTCGACGATGACGATGGGCCTGCTGCAGACGCAGCAGTCCTTCAAGAAGCGGTTCCGCGACCCCAACGAGCCCGAGGACCTCGGCGCCAACTGCCGCATCGGCGCCTGGGGGCGCCTGCTCCAGGCCGCGGGCGGCGGGCCGAAGCTGCCCGGGCCGTACCAGTTCCACGGCTACGCGGACGCGGACAGCTCCGCGGCCGGCGACGAGCCCTCGGAGGCGTCCCCGGCGGCGCCCGCGCCGGCGCCGGCGCCGGCGCCGGGCGCCGCGCCGCCGCTCGACGCCGCGAGCCTCGACAAGGAGTCGCTCACCGCGGCCAAGTCCGACGGCAACTCCGTGACGTTCGCGTCGCTGCCGGTGCCGTTCCGGGGCAGCCGCCTGCGCGTGTTGGGCCAGGCGGCGCAGCTCACGGAGCGGCCGGACCTGGGCATGCACAGCGCCTACTTTGGGGACGGCGACTCGATGACGCTGACGACGGGCGACGCCTTCGGCTCGCACGCGTCGCTCAGGAGCCGCGAGGACGTGCGGCGCATCTCCATCACCGTGCGCCACCGCGGCGACGACGACGGCGAGAGCGTCGAGTCCCAGGAGCCCCTGGACCGCAGCGCCTACGACGACTACTACGAGCGGCGCCGCGCGTCGGGCGACCCGGCCGAGTCCGACGACGGCGACGGCGACGGGTCGCGCGACCCGGACGACGAGCCCTACGTGGCCTGCTACGAGTGCGGGACCCAGAACCTGCTGAGCGACGTGTCCAAGGACGCGGCGCGCCGGCGGCGCGAGGCCATGGGCGCGCCCGAGCACCCGAAGACGGGGCCGACGCGCGCGCGGACCGCCGAGGAGCTCCGGCTGCTGCACCGCATCGGCTCTGGCGGCCTCGCCACGCAGCACCACGAATACCTGCGGACGCGGCGCGCGCGGACGGCCGGCGACCCGCCGGAGGGTCTGGACCCCGTGGAGTACCGCGGCGCGTACGACGAGGGGTTGATCCGGTCGCGGTTCAATATGGACCCGTCGAAGGACGACGTCCTGGACTTCGGCGTCGTCGGCGAGCCGCCGCTGACGGCGAGCCGCGAGGGCACGGCGAAGCGGGGCAAGACGCGGGCGCTCCTGTTGAGCCAGAGCCTGCCGGACATCCGGTTCTCCAGCGGCACGGGCGTGAAGATCCGCCGCACGGACGACGACAGCGGCTACTCCTACTCCTACTACAGCGCGCGGCCCCAGACGCCCACGGGCGGCAACGCGTCCGCGGCGTCGGGCGAGCCGGCGCCGGACCTGGGGTCGCCGGCGTCGCCGACGGATGTGCCGCCGGAGGACAGGAACGACGACACAGCACCAACATCGACGCTCGGCGAGGGCAGCGGCCCGCCGCCGGACGTGCTGTCCGTGCTCAAGGGCGCGAGGAGCGTCACGGCGCCGCCGCCGGCGTCGCCGCGGACGCTGGTCGTCGACGGCGCGGGCGTCGCGGTCGCGCCGCGAGAGGAGCCGCGGTTGACGGGCCGCGACGCGATCCTGACGCCGAACTGGGCCGCGGTCTACGCGGCGTCGACGGTAGAGGAGCGGTCGCCGTCGTCGTCCGTCGAGGGCTTCTCCATCGGCGCGAAGATCACGCTCCATACGTCGACCGCGTCGACCGCGGACGCCGCGGGCGCGCCCGACCCCCACGTGCCGCCGCCGCCGAAGAAGACGTCCGCGGCGCTCGTCGACCCCGAGCGCCTCCGGCGCATGGCCCACCTGCTGGCGCGGAGCGAGGTTTTGGAGCAGGAGCCGCCGCCGCGCCTCAAGGGCCCCAAGGGCCCGCTCCCGGGCATCGACGAGTGCGTCGACGCGGCCGCGGTCGCCGCGCTCGACGAGCTGCCCGCGGCGGCGCAGGCCGAGCTCTGGGAGAGCATGCACGACGCCGACGACGACGTCAACGCGTTGGCCTACGAGGAGCTGGGTCTGATGTACGACGAGGAGGCCGCGCGCGGCGCGGCGCGCGCGCCCGCGACGGCGCCCGCGCCGCGGAAGCGCAGGCCGAAAGCCAAGCCCGCCACCGCGGAGAAGCCCAACTACACGCCCCAGTACCGCAGCGCCAAGAACCGGCCGCGCACGGTCCACCTCGGGCCCCGCACGGCGAAGCGCGCCATGTTCGGCCGCCGCGGGTCGACGGCGCGGCTTTTAGACGACGAGGAGAGCCTGCACTCCACGGAGCTCCGGGCCGTCGCGTCGGCGCCCCTCATCAACACGGGGGCGGCGACGCCCGCGGCGCGCGCGCGCGACGTCGCGCGGCGCCAGCGCACGCCGTCGCCGCCGCGGACCGGGGAGACGGTCTACGGGCGGGAACGGCGGTCCGTCGACGCGGACGTCGCCGCGGCGCTCCGCCGCGTCGTCCACGACTTGCGGGTCGAGGAGGCCGCGGCCATGGCGTCCGTCGACGGAAACGACGAGCCGCGGCCGAAGCTGCCGCGGCTCGCGACGCGCTACGTCGACCCGGCGTTTTTGGCGCCGCCGGTCCCAAACCCGTCGTACGTGGACCCGCGCGGCGACGCGGCGGACAACCTGGACGACGACGTGCTCCACGCCGAGCTCTGCGCCTACGTCGTGCCCCGCACGATCTCGAAGCCGCGCCTCGACGTCGCGGACCGCGACGGTAGCCTGTCGCTCGCGAAGTCGTCGTCGACGCAGGCGCTCCGCGACTTCTCCGCGACGCGGCGCGTCCAGGAGGACCGCAAGGCGGCCCAGATCCGCGAGTACAAGCGCCGCCAATCGAAGAAGCGCATCCAGGAGAACCAGGCGAAGCGGCGCATCCGGGGCTCCATCAAGGCGTCGCGCGACGACGACGACGACGGCGCCGCGCCGCCGCCCGTCTACGAGGACCAGAACGACGAATGGACCATCAGCTCCGACGGCTCGAAGCTGTCGACGAAGCCGTCCATGGTGTCCTTCGCCGACGCGACGCCGGCGGCGGCCGCCGACGAGCCCGCGGCGGCCGCCGCCGCGGACGCGGAGCCCGCCGCGGCCGCGGCCGCGCCGCTCGCGGTCGACACGTCGCCCGAGCAGCCGACGACGGACCGCGCGCCGTCGCCCGTGGCGCGCGCGGCGTCGCCCGTGGCGCGCGCGGCGTCGCCCGCGGCGTCCGCGGCCGCGGCGCCGGCCGCGGCGGCCGCGGCGCCCGCGGCCGCGCCCGCGGCCGCGCCGCCGGCCGCGGCCGCCGCGGCGCCGGCGCCCGTCGCCGCCGCCGAGCCGCCCGCCGCGGCCCCGGCGCCCGCCGCCGCGGCGGTCACGGCCGCGCCGGCGACGGCCGCCGCGCCGCCGCCCGCGGCCGCCGCGCCCGTGTCCGCGGTGCCCGTCGTCCGGGAGCCGCGCGACCAGCGCGCGTCGCGCGCGTCGCGCGACGCGCCCGACGCCGCGAAGCGCCGGCCCTCCGTCGCCGAGCCCGGCGGCGGCGGCGGCTCGCCGGGCCGCGCGAACACGCGCCGCGCGTCCATCTCCGCGAAGCGGACGCCCCCGGCGGCGCTCGCGGAGAAGAAGCGCGAGAGCCGCGGCAGCCGCGGCTACGCCGACGACGACGCCGACGGGGACGGGCCCGTCGTCCAGCCCGTCGTCCAGGTCCGCAAGGTCGACGAGCGCCGCGCGTTGCTCCGCCGGGGCCGCAAGGACCGGGGCGAGGGCGTCGCGCTCTCGAGGAAGGACCGCGCGCAGATCGGCCGCGTCAAGAAGGCCCTCAACCCGGAGGCCGAGGCCCTCGAGTCCGCGGGGCCCCAGAGCAGCGCCATCACCGACATGGCGGCGCTCAACACGAAGCTCGAGCAGCGCTGCGCGAAGATCCACCGCATCCGCGAGTTCCAGGAGTCCCACGAGGGCGAGCTCGACATCTGGGACGACGACTAAGATTAGTAGCCGCCTTCGGGGCAGTAGTACTCGACGACGAGGCCCGCGGCGTCGTCGGGGATGGGCTTGCACTTCGCCACGAGGCCCACGAGGACGCGCTTGTGCTTCGCGGCGTAGGGCTTCCAGCCGCCGGCGGCCTTGACGCTGTCGACGAGGGTATTCGTAGCTGTGGAAGCTTGGTGCACGGCGCCAGCTCGGAGCAGGATCTTGACAAGGGTGCGACGGCAGTAATAACACGCCCAGTAGAAGGGCGAATCTCCATAAATATCCGTTGCGCGGACGTCGGCACCAGCTCGGATGAGGAGCTTGGCGCAGGCTGCAAGCTTTTTCGCCTCAGCAAGGCTTGAAAAATTACATAATAGATGCAGGGGCGTCCTTCCTGAACTCGTCTTTGCATGAACGTCTGCGCCTGCCGACAGTAAGGCTGCGGTGCATCCTACGTGGATGGGTGCATCCTGCGCCCGTCCACGCATCGCATCGTGGAGGGCTGTGTAACCGTCTTCGTCCACGGCGTCGACTAAAGCTCCGTGTTCAAGCAGAAGTTCCACTGCTGCAGTACGCCCATTTGTTGCAGCCCAATGCAAGGCAGTCCCCCCCAGTCCTTGGGCGCGCACGTCCGCGCCCGCGGCGATGAGCGCGCGTATCTCTTCTATGTCTCCGTCTTCCGCCGCAACACACAGTAACTGTTGACTATCAAGGTCCGCCATGATCCCCACGCCGCGCGCGCACGGCCGAGGCGCAGCCCGGGTCCCACCTCGAGACTCGACAGCTGCACTTGCACAGCAGTGCACTGCTACTTGCGTGCAAGTGCACGGGCAATCACGGCCGCGGGCTGTCCACAAGCCGCCTCGCGCTGGGCCTGGGCGACGCCCGCGTTCCCGGCCGCCGCGGCGGACCCAGGGCCATGGCCCGCCACTCCAAGGCGGCGAACCGCACGCACAAGAAGCGGTCGTCGCCCGGCGACCAGCAGCAGCAGCAGCTCCCGGCGGCGTCGCCGCTCTTTTTCAACTGCGAGTGCGTCTTCTCCCTCTTCCTCGTGGCGCTCCTCGCGGCGCTGCCCTTCAACATCAACGCGGGCTACTTCCGGCAGAGCCGCGAGTCCTTCGTCATGCGCGCCGAGGAGCTCTTCTCCGACGGCGCCTTCGGCACGGCCGCCGCGCTCTACCAGCGCGCCGTCGACGCCGAGGAGACGCCCGACGGCCACGTCTTCCTCGCGGAGACGCTCGTGCGCGTGGCGCGCGTGCCCGACGCCATCGCGCACTACGAGCGCGCCGCGGCGCTCTACGACGACGCCCGCGAGCGCGTCGCCGCGCTCGCGTCGGCCGCGCGGCTCCACGTCGAGCGGGGCTCCGCGGCCGAGGCCGTCGCGGCGTACGTGCGGGTCCTGGAGCTCGACCCGGGCCTGCGGTCGCCGGAGGTCGCCGACGCGCACGTGCAGCTCGCGGCCTACTCGCTGGGCGCGGGGAGCCGCGGCGGGCTCTACGCGGCCGTCGGCCACCTCCGGCGCGCGACGGAGATCGCGCCGACGCTGGCCGCGGCGCACCTGCTCCTCGCGGACGGCTACCGCGACCTCGGCTTGCCGGAGCACGCCATCGAGAGCCTGCGGAGCGTCGTCAAGTACCGGCCGCGCGACGCCGCGGGCCTGTCGGGCCTCGGCGCGGCGCACCTCGAGCTCGGCCACTTCAAGCAAAGCGTCAACGCGTACCGCAAGGCGCACGCGCTGGCGCCCGCGGCGACGGACGTCAAGTACGCCCTGGCGGCGTTGCTGGGCGAGCCCGTCGTGCCGCCGCGGGCGCCGCCGTCGTACGTCGAGGCGCTCTTCGACCTCCGGAGCCGCCGGGGCTTCCTGAGGGCGGACGCGGCGCGCGGGCCGCCGCCGCCGGGCTGGGACCTCGCGGGGTTGGAAGCTTTGCGCAACGCGAGCGACGCGCCGGCGGACGCGAAGCGCCGGAAGAAGAAGAAGGACGCGCCGCGGAGCGCGTCCGAGGCGACGGTGCTCGAGACGATCAGCGCGATCCTCACGGGCGACAAGGGCGCCGACGAGGTCCAGCGCTTCTCCTCCGTGGAGGAGGCCATCAAGGCCGTGCGCGAGAACGCGACGGCGGCGCAGCGGCCCCCGGACGCGGCCGCGGCCGACGACGCCGCGGCCGCGGCGGCGACGACCCCGCCGCCGCCGCCGGCGAACCCGAACGCGAAGGCGCCGCTGCCGCCGCTCAACGGCACGGTCCAGGACGAGCCCCACCTCTTCGCCCAGGTCCACGGCCTGCTCTTCGACGACCAGCTGCTGGACGTCGTGCTGGAGACGCTGCGGTCCGCGCTCGTCGTCGACGGCGACGCGGACGGCGGCGGCCGCTGGCTCGACGTGCTCGAGCTCGGCTGCGGCGACGGCGTCGCGGGCCAGCACCTGAGGACGCTGGCGAACCGGCTGCACTGCGTGGACCTGAGCGCGGGCGCGCTGGCCGTCGCGGAGGCGCGGCGCGCGTACGACGTGCTCGAGCGGGGCGAGTTCGTGTCCACGGCGCGCGCGCTGCTGCCCGACTCCCAGGATCTGGTCGTCGCCGTCGACGCCGTGCCCTACCTCGGCGACCTCGCGGACTTCTTCGGCGCCGTCGCGTCGGTGCTGCGGCCGGGCGGCCTCGCGATCTTCAACACCGACGTGCTCACGGAGGACGGCCTCGAGCCCGGGTCGCCGAAGAAGGCGCGCGACAAGGCCGCCGAGTCCGAGGGCGAGGCCGCCGCGGAGCCGGGCACGATTGACTACCGCTTGGCCTTCACGGGCCGCTGGCAGCACCGCGTCAAGTACGTCACGGGCCTCGCGAGGGCCCACGGCTTCGCGTCCGTGAAGCCGACGATGCTGCTCAAGGTCGAGACGCGCCTCGTGTGGAACGCGCGCGAGCAGAAGGCCGGCTGGGTCGAGCGGGGCTCCAAGGAGGCGCGCGACGCCGCGATCCGCACGGGCGTCTTCGCGTTCCGCAAGGAGGACTAGGGGGGCGGCTTACTACCGGTCCTCGGCCTCGACGGCGCGCGCCCAGGCGCGCGCGACGAGGCAGGCGCCCAAAGCGCAGCCGAGGGCGAAGACGACCCAGTAGAGCCGCGCGACGTCCGCGGCGTCCGTCGCGTCGAAGAAGTGCTCGTTGGCGACGGCCTTGCGCGGGTTTAGCAGCGACCCGACGACGGTCGCGAGCGCGCCGACGTCGCAGAGGGCGAGGACGCCGAGCCAGTGGCAGCAGTAGCCGTCGCCGCGGCAGAGCGGCACGACGTCCTCGGCGACGACCTTGGGGACCAACAGCAGCACGGCCGGGCCCAGGGCCCGCTTCAGCGACGACACGAGCGGGATGGGCTCGCCGAAGTAGAACTCGGCGAACTGGACGTCGTTGGACTCGCCGCTCAACGCGCGCTTGCAGACGCCGAGGTCGACCAACGTGAACGCCAGCAGGAGGCCCACGACGAAGAGCGGGAGCGCGAGGTCGAAGGCCGACGGCGGCTCGAGGCGCCGCGCGTGCGCGTGGCTGCTCATATTTTGCGCTTGGAACGACGAGGCTGGCGTCTACGAGGACGGGCTGCCGGCGCCTCCCATGCTGCCCTCAGGTTCAACGAGCTACAACTTGAACCAGCATTGCTTTTTCATCCGGGCGATCGAAGCCGGAGCCTGTGCGCCTCTCGTCGCAGCCCAACACCAACGTTGCGTCGCTCCTCGTCGCGCACCACCAAAAAACGACCATGCCGACGCTCCAGCAGCGCATGGTCGATAGCACGGAGCCGGCGACGCGCAAGAAGGCCATGAACGCCCTGAGTGACTTCCTGCGCGACGACCTCGAGGACCTGGCCATGCGCAAGCTCTGGCGGTCCATCTTCTTCGCCATGTGGCTCGCGGACATGGCGCCCGTGCAGACGGAGCTGGCGGTGAACGTGGGCAAGACGATCCACCGCTTCCGCGACGTCGCCGCGGCGCGGCGGTGGCTCGCGGCGTTCTGCGGCACCGTGCGCGGCGAGTGGGACCGGCTCGACAAGTACCGCGTGGACAAGTACTACATGCTGATCCGCCACGTGCTCCGGCAGGGCCTGGCGTTCTGCGCGAAGCGCGGCTGGGCGGGCGACGCCGTCGCGGCCGTCGAGGGCGCGCTCGACGCCGGGTTCCTCGCGGAGCCGCGGTACCCCGCGGGCATCAAGCTCCACTACGCGGACGTCGTCCTCGACGAGCTGTGCGAGGCGTCCGCGCCGCTGGCCGCCGCGGAGGCCTTCCTCGCGCCGTGCCTCGCGGGCCTCCGGTCGACGGACGAGCCTTTGGTGCTCCGCGTGCTCGACCGCGTCTGCGACAACGCCGCGGGCCGCTGCGCCGACGACGACGGCGCCAAGCCCGTCGCCCGGGCCGTCCAGGCCGCGGTCTACGGCATCGCCCAGGACGAGGCGACGCCCCAGCGCCACCGGTCCAAGCTCTACGCGGCCGTGAAGGCGCTCGCCGCGGCGACGGGCGAACGCGTCGCGCCGTCGAAGAAGCGCGCCGCGGACCCGGACGCGGAGGAGGACGACGACGAGGAGGACGACGAGGAGGCGAGCGCGGCGCCGGCGAAGGCGAAGCCGTCGGCGAAGCAGCTCAAGCTCAAGGCCCGGAAGCGCCTCAAGCAGAAGGCCGCGTTCTTCCAGAAGAAAAAGAAGTAAGGTTAGTGGCTCGGACAGCGGTGGAGGATCGCGTCCATGTGGACCATGAGGTCGGGCTTGACGTAGTGGAAGGCCGTCGACTGCCGGCTGAAGTACTTCTCGCCCTCGATGAGGTCGAAGCTGTACTTCGTGTACCAGTCGTTGGGCGTCTTGCGGTAGCTGAGGTGCTGGCCCGGCGTGAAGGGGTGGAACCGCTCCGCGCCCGTCGCGTCGCGCGTGTCCGTAGGCAGGAGGTGCGCGGGCCCGTTGCGGAAGCACTCCGCGACCATGACGTCCTCGAAGAAGCCGTGGAGGTGGGGCCGGCAGAAGGGCTCGTCGAAGGAGTCGTAGAGGAGCGCCAGGGACTGGCGGTTGAACGTGTAGCCGCTGCCGCCCGAGTTGAAGAGGTTCTTCTCGTTGCCGTTCTGCTTGAAGAGGCGGCCGAGGAACAGGGGCTCGCCGCGGTCGTTGCGCGCCTTGACGGGCGGCGACGCCAGGTAGGCCTTCAAATTCGACACCAGCACGAAGAGATCGTCGCCCCCGAAGTGGAAGTAGTCGAAGTCGTCGCGGTAGTACTCGTAGACGTAGCGCCAGTTCGCGCGCGTCTTCTGCCAGATGTTGTTGTACTCCTCGGGCCCCTCGTGGGGCACGCCCACGGCGCCGACGCTCTCGTCGCTCTCGTCGCTGAGGATGAGGGCGCCGTCGCAGCGCGGGAGCCACGTCTCCGACGCGGCCTTTCCGGCCGTGGAGTGGTGCTTGCTGTACGTGTAGATGACGCAGAGCACTTTCGGTAAAGTCGGCGCCTCGTAGACGGGGCTCACGTCGACCAGTTTCATGGCCTGGGCGTGGTAGGGCACGGCGCGACGGTGGGCGTTGCAGGCCGCGGCGTCGAGCGGGCCCGCGAGGTTCGCGCGGTGCCGGTACGGGTCGATCCTGGGCGCGTCGAACGGCGGCATGTCCGCCTCCTTGTAGGTCTTCGACTTGCGCTGCCAGACCGGCGGCTGCGGCGCCGCGGGCGGCGGCGGCGGCGGCGGCGGCCGGGCCGGGGCCGCGGGCGGCGGCGGCGGCGGCGGGACGACGCGCGCGGCGACGGCCGCGGCGGGCGCGGCCGGGACGGCGGGGACCGCGGCGGCGGGCGCGACCTCCGCCAGCTGCCGCGCGGCGTAGGCGGCCGAGGCCGCCGCGTTGTCCAGGCGCTTCGCCAGGGCGCACAGGGTCAGGCAAAACGTGATGAGCACGGCCATGGCGTAGAGCCGCTTCGTCGAGCGGTTGGCGTTGCCCTTCTCCGTGAAACCGTCGTCGACGTCCTCCTCGTCGCCGGCGAGCGCCCCCTCGGAGTTCGCCGACCGCGCGCGCATCGTCTTTCAGGCTGCCGCGCAGCGATCAGGATGGTGGCGTCATATGCTGGGGCAGCCTAATCAGCGGCACAGTGCAGAGCAACATCTTCGCTAGAAAATGAGAAGTAATTGAGGAAGGCTGTGGCAGCCCGCATGACCACCGAGACGGAGTCATCCATCAACGACCCGCTCCTCGTCGACGACGTCGCCATGGAGCCGCCGAAGCGCGTCGACTTGAGTGCGCACCAGGGCCTGCGGGGCCTGCTGAGCCTATATGTCATGATCTACCACTACTTTTGGTACTCGACGCTCCAGTGGGAGCTCCACGGGTCGGCGCTCATGCCGCCGTTCTTCGTGCTCAGCGGCTTCTCGCTCGCCGTCGGCTACGGGTCGAAGCCGCTCGCGCCGGGCTCCGCGTGCTGCGGCGAAGCGGCCGACGGCGACCGGGCGCTCGACTGGCGGGCGTTCTATCGGAATCGCGCGGCGCGCATCCTGCCGACCCACTACTTGATGAACGCCGCCAGCGTGCCGCTGTCGTTCCTCGGCTACGGCCTCGTGTCGAAGAACGCGCTCGTGTCCGCGGGCGTGCTGACGGCGGTCTGCGCGACGACGTGGTTCGGGCCCAACTTCGGGTCGTTCTGCGCGCCGTCGTGGACGATCTCGACGCTCTGCGGCTTCTACCTCGTCTTCCCCTGGGTCGCGCCCCGCCTGCAGCGGGCCGCGGGCTCGCCGCCGTGGTACGCGATTCTCGGGTTGGGCATGCCGGCGGGCTGCTGCCGGGTCCCGACCCCGCCGGCGGAGGCCGACGCGACGTCGCTCGCGGCGCACATGCGCCTCTGCTTCTGGGCGCAGCTCTTCTCCGCCGCCTGGTCCATCGGTCTGGGCATCGCCACGGGCATGGTGGGACCCATGGCGACGATGTGGGCCGTGCCGCGGTTCCCCGTGTTCCTCGCGGGCGCCTACGCGGGGCTCCTCGCGCTCCGGGGCGGCCCGGCCGCCGTCGCCGACGCGGGCCTCACCGCGCGGCTCTACCGCTGCGGCACGTGGGCGAGCGTGGCGGACCGGTCCGCGTTCGCCGTCGCGTTCCAGCTCGCGGCGCTGTCGGTCGTCGCGATCACGGTGACGGACGTCTACGCGGCCCTGTGGCTCCAGCTCACGCTCCCCGACACCTGGGTCGCGCTGGTCCTGGGGCTGGCGCTCGACGACGCGTCGCGGACCTACCGGATGCTCACGACGCCGGCGATGCTGTTCTTCGGGAAGATCTCCATGACGCTGTACTTGGTGCACCTGCCGGTGATGCAGTATTTCACCTTCTTCCTGCGCGGGGCCCAGCCCAACGGCTGGCGCGGCGACGTCTGGGCGACGTGCGTCTCCGACGACTACGACGACGACGAGCAGGAGGACTGCGAGGACGCCATGCGCCGCTTCTCGAGGCGGCGCCTCATCCCCCCCTGGAGCATCGCTCCGCTCGCCGTCTTGTCCGTCGTCCTCGCCGTCGCCCTCGACCCCCCCCCCCCCCCCCCCCCCCCGAGGTCCTGGTAAGGAGAGAGACCGCCGGCGCACGGAGCATGCGTGCTTACGGGGCGGTCGCTCTTCGCGCGCGCTCGCTCAGTCCTCGGGGCTCGCGAGCGTGGGGTCGATGATCTGCGGGATCTCGATGGCGGTCGCCACCTTGAGCTTCGACTTGAGCTTGAGAGCTTTCCCGTAGTGCTTCATGTTCGCGGCGAGGAGCACGTCCAGGTCGATGCCGTTGGCCTCGGCGATCGACGAGATCGTGGCGTTCTCCTCGCAGGCCAGCCACATCTTGCCGTTGTACTCGTACCTGTCCCCCGGCTGGCGCGGCGGATCCTCTTCCTCCTTCTCCTCCGGCTCCTCCGGCTCCTCTTCGACCGTCTCCTTAGACGGCTTGAGCTTGGGTTCCTTGGGCGGCCGGCCGCGCGGCTTCTTCGGCGCGGGCTCGAAGCCCTCGACCTTGTCCTTGGGCGGCCGGCCCCGCGGCTTCTTCGGCGCGGGCTCGGCGCCCTCGACCTTGGCCTTGGGCGGCCGGCCGCGCGGCTTGGGCACCTTCGGCGCGGCCTCGGCCTGGGAAACCTCCGACTCCTTGCGCGGCCGCCCGCGCTTCTTCTTCTCCACAGGAACGACGGGCGACGGCTCGTCCGACGCCGCCGCCGCCGCGGGGGCTTCCGCGGCGAACGCGGGCGGCGTGGGGGCGGCGCCCAGCGGCGCGGCGGCGGCGGGGCCGTTGTTGACGGCCAGGCACACCGCGTCGAAGCGCGCGCTGAAGGCCTGGAGGCGCCCGCGCGCGATGGAGGCGCCGGGGGTCGCGGCCGCCAACTCGACCGTCTCGATGGCCGACTCGAGCGTGACGAAGGCTTTCGATAAAAGCTCTGCCATCGGTGTCGGTGCGGCCGAACACGGATTTCAAATGGATTTCGGCAAAAAGCGCGCACGAACTTGCATTTCTTAAATAAAAAGCGGATCCAGCTTATGCTCCAGGGGACATGCCCCTCGTCGCGGGGTTCGCCTTCGCGGTCATGTCGTCACTGCCTCGCTCCGTCATCGTCGCCTTACTCAGCGTCGGGTTTGTCCTCGTCGCGGCGAAAGTTGTGGGCGCCTTTCGCGCCAAGGAGGCGCCATTTTGGTTGCGCACGGCCAAGCCCATCAAGACGCCGCTCGAGGACGACGACACGGTGGCGCTCCTCGTCGCGTCCCGCGCGCCGCGCGAGACGCACGGCGCGCTCGCGGCGGTGAGCCGGCGGCTCGCGCGGGTCGTGTCGAGCCCCGCGCTCGCGAAGGAGCGCGCGGGGGCGGGCTGGCTCGAGGGTCCGCGGAAGATGCACCGCGTCTCCGTGCGCCGCCTGAGGAGCGGGCGCTACCGCCCGGCGAAGCACATCGACCATGACGACCCGTCGCCGGGCTACCTCTTCGAGCGCGACGTCCGGCGGTGCACGCTCGTCCTCTGCCAGCTCATCGTCTCGCGGCGCGGCGCGGACCCGGACCCGCGGACGGCCCTCTGGGACACGTTCGTCGAGCTGGTGGACCTCTTCCACGGCCACCACCTCGTGAAGATGCGCATGGACATCGCGCCGGACTGGGGCGACCATCTCGTGGGCTACTCGAACTTCGGCGAGCCCCGGAACGGCCTCGGCGCGGGGTTTTCGGACCACCTCGTGCACCACGCCATCGTCATCGACTACGCCGTGCGCCACTACACGCGGGCGGACGTCGAGGACAAGAACGCGCTGTCGTTGAGCTGGTACGGGAAGCGCCTCTGCGACCTCGGCCTCCTCGGCGAGTACTACGACGAGAAGGCGCAGAAGTGGTCCATCGACGCCGACGGCTGGATGATTCGGGACCTCCTGTCCATCTGGGGCCGACACGGCGGTCCCGATGGACCGGGCCGGCCGTGCCCCGTCGACGCTCCGATGGCCATCGTCTTCGCGTACGTGGCCGTCATGACGGCCCCGAACGTAAAGGAGCACATGAAAGACCGCGACATCATGATCGGCGGCTACATGGACTTCGCCTTGACGCTCAGCTTCGTCAAAGGCACGCTCGACGACAAGATCAAGGAACTCGCGGAGGGCGAATACTACTTCGTGGACGGCCTGCGCGACCCGTCGCGGCGCCGCATGTACGGCGACCGGGCCACGGCCAACTCCCAGCTCGGGCTCTTGCGCGCGGACGCGGAGCGCCAGGAGGAGGCGGCGCGCGCGGAGACGCGCGAGCGCAAGGAGCGCGAGGAGCGCGAGGAGCGCGAACGCGAGGAGCGCGAACGCGAGGAGCGGCACGAGGCTCAGCGCAAGCTCCTGGCCGAGCGGGAGCAGGATCTCGCGCAATTCCAGCAAAGCATGAGCATGATGATGGAAATGTCCCGGAATCGCGGCCAGCAATTCGAGATTAGAGAGCTAGGGGTCGAGCCGGATCCCGAGACCGTCGCCGCGATCGAAGAGGCCCTCGCGGCCCGCCGCCACGGCCCAATGGGTGCACTCGAGGACCTCTCCTCGGACGACGAGCCGGAGGATCCCGCGGCGAACGCCGCGTGGCGAGAGATGATGGCGGAGCCCGACCGGCTCCGCGAGCACTTCGCCGGGGAGGACCTCCCCGGCGACGAGGAGCTCGAGTAGAGGAGGACTAAGATTACGCGACCCGGCTCTCGCTGACGTCGTGGGAGATGGCGAAGAGGTTCGTGCGGAACTGGTAGGCCGCGAAGGTGTGCGCGTCCGGCGTCCGGAGCGCCGCGTCGATGTGGTAGATGGGCTGGGCGTCGAGCCAGTCGAGGACCCGTTTCGCCGTCGCCGGCCGCAGGAGCGACGCGGCGGCGCTCAGGTAGAGGATGCGGCCGTCGTGCCACTCGCCGTCGAGGGACGCGGCGTCGCAGTCGCCCGCGGCGACGCGCGAGGACCCGAAGAGCGAGCCGTCGTCGGGCGCGCGTTTGACGTACCAGTCCTCGTTGACGCGGTCCTGCTCGCAGATGGACTCGTGGGCGTTGAGCGACGCGTAGGCCCAGTCCGCCGGGAGCGACGCGGCCGCGCGGTCGATCGCCGACGCGTCGAAGCCGTCCGCGAGGACCGCGTCGTCCTCGAGGAAGACGTAGAGGCCGTCCGGGTCGTCGTCGGCGTGGGCCGCGATGCGCTCGAAGGCGAGGTAGTGGGAGAGGAAGTTGCCCACGGTGTGCGCGGCCGTGCGGCCGCTCGGCGGCTCGCCGTCGCGGTCCTCCCGGAGCGGCTTGGCCGCGAAGCGCCGCGTCCGGTCCGAATCCAACACGTCGGCGACGGTGTCGCCCTCGACGCAGGCGAAGCGCTCGTGGGGCACGCCGAGCTTCGCGAGCGCGGCCTCCTGGAGCGCGCGCCGGTCCTCCGCGGCCGCGCAGTTGTTGTAGAAGATCTTCCGCACGTGCGACGCCGGCGCTTGACCGCGGGGCAGCGCCGCGCTAAAATGGCCCCCGGCGTCGCACAGACTCACGACGCGCCCGAGCGCCGCCGCCGAGCAGCCGCCGTCCTCGATGCGCGTCGCCGACCGCGCCTTCGGCACGACGGCTTCGCACTCGTCGCTCCCGGCGCAGAAGGAGCACCACGCGTGGTGGTCGCAGACCGGGTAGCCCGCCGCGTTCCGCGGGTCGATGCGCTCCGACCGCTCCGGCTCGTCGAGGCGGTAGCCGACCATCGGTCTGCACGTATTCCGGGCGGCGGGATCCGCGGCCGCGGCCGCGAGCTCCGAGGATATCGTCGCCCCGGACGCCAGCATGGCCGCCTCGACGTCCGCGCAGGTCGCCGGCAGGTCCGCGAGGTGGCGGTAGGCGCAGAGCGCGCCCTCGCCCGCGGCGCACGCGTCGCCGCAGAGCGTCTCGCACCACGGGCTCTGGCACTCGACGGAGCACATGGACCGGTCGACGGTGCCGCACTCCTCGGGCACGATGGACGCGTCGTCGTCGAAGTCGGCGCAGGACCACGCCCCGTCCGCGGCGACGGCGAAGCTCGTCGCGTCCCAGGTGGCGCGCGGCGGCGACAGCGTCGAGCCCAGCAAGACCACGCCCAGGGCGACCATGAGGAAGGTCGCTCGTTTCAGCAGCGACGCCGTGAGGCGCGCCTCGGCGGCGTCCTCGGACTCCGGAGGGTGCGTGCCGTAGTGTGTGCCCATGGCGGCGCGCGGATGGGGGACAGAAAGGCTGCCCGCGTTTGATGTCGACACTTCTAAAAGGGTAACTTTGCCTTGGCCTGGCTGCAATCGAGGTGCACCTTGTGGCAATGGGTCGAGTTGTTCCCGCAGCATGAGTCGAGCAGGCTCATAATCCGCCATGCCCTGAGTCGAGCAGGCTCATAATCCGCCATGCCCTGGTCTTGCAAAGTATGCACCGTGATCGTGGACATCGATACCTTCTTGTGCTGCAACGTCTGCGGAACGCCGCGCGAATTTGAGACGAACAACAAGCGCCCGCGCGACGAGCCGGTCGAGCCGCCGGCAAAAGAGCGCAAGCTCGAGGACGTCGCACCGCCGCCGCCGCCGGCAGCAGCGCCGCCGCCGCCCGCAGCAGCGCCGCCGCCGCCCGCAGCGCCGCCGCCGCCGCCCGCAGCGCCGCCACAACCGCGCGCGGCGCCGGGCCCGCGGCGAAAGTACGTCGTGCTCCTCATGGTCGAGGGCGGCGACGCGGAGCACGCCGCGTACCTCGCGCGCTGCGAGCGGGCGTGCGACGCCGCGATCCACCGCCACTGCTTCCAGATCCGGGACACGCACCATTTCACGATCGTCGGCGGCGACTGGACCGACGCCGAGGCGGCGAGCGTCCGCTTCGCGTCGCCGCCGCCGCTGCCCGCGCGCGTGCCCCTGACGCACCACAAGCCCTGGAAGAGCTGCCTGGCGCTCGGCGTGGACGACGCCACGGCGGCGACCGTCGAGGACGTCGCCGCGCGCCTCGCGGTCCCGGCGCGCGCGCGGTTCACGACGACCGCCGCGAGGCTGCACCTGTCGCTCTACCGCGGCCGCGGCCGCGGCGGGGCGCTGGCGAAGCAGATGGGCGCCCTCCGGGGCGCCGCCGGCGGCGGCTACGGGTCCGTCGTCGCGTCGCGAGGTCGTCGGCGCGGACTACGCGGCGTCGCGGACCGTCGAAGTGACCGTCGCGTCCTAAGACAGCACCGCTTAGCGACGGCCGGGGCTGCGGTGTTTCGCGCGCCGCCGGTCGCCGGGTCGGGGGTGCGGCGGCCGGGCCTCACGAGCCCTCGGGGGTCTTCTCCTCGTCGCCGTCGACGCGGACGACGGGCGACAGCGTCACGCCGCCGTGGCCCCGGTCGAGGGGCGCGTCCGCGAAGGTCACGGAGCGCCGGCCCATGCTCTCCGGGTCCGGCGAGTACCTCCGCGGGTCGTCGAGGGCGTAGGACCGCCTCCCCGGCGGCGGCGACGGGTCGTCGGCGGGCGCCGCGGCCGGCGCCGCGGGCGCCGCGGCCGGCGCCGCGCGCCCCGGCAGCAGGTGGTCGTGGACCGCGCGCAGGAGCGCGTCGTTCTGGCGGCGCATGGCGTCGTGGTCCTCCTTGAGCTCGCGGATGATGTCGAGCATCTCGCGCTCGCGCTCCTGCGACTGCCGGACCTGGGCAGCAAAAGGGTGATTCAACGTCGCTTCAAGGTGAGTGTTCCGCGCGCGTCCGTTCTCGAAAAAGCATCCACGCTTCGAGACCGTTCCGAGAGATGATCGCTCGTCCAAAAATCAGCCGAAACGAGTGGAAAACGGCCGAGATATGAGCCTTTGAAGTTGGGAATTTCGCACCCTTTTGCTGCCCTGTGCCGGACCCAGTCGTACATCGCGTTCGACTGCTTCTCGTACTGCGTCGGCCGCGCGCGGCCCTGGGACTGGGTGTGGAGCTCGAGCACGCGGCGGAAGCGCGCCAGCAGCTTCAGCGACACGCCGGAGTCGCCGTGCTGCGCGCTCTCCTTGAAGCCGTACGCGGAGCCCGTCTGCGCCTTGACGATGAGCAGGCTCATGTTGCGCATGAGCGTGTGCTTCTTGCCCGGCGACCCGCCGACGACCTTGGGGAAGACCTTGAGGGACCCCAACCGCTGCGTCGCGAGCTTGGCCCGCTCCTCGAGGGGCGGACGCTTCCTCCGGACCTCCCAGGGCACGTACGGCGCGTACCACGGCGGCTTCACGGCGTCGTCGCCCCAGGTCTTGGCCTGGACGAACTGGGTGATGACCTCGGCGGCCAAACCCCGCACGCGCTGGTGGTTCGCGTGCGAGTCGGCGTACTCGTAGACCTTCTCCTGCGACGACCCGAGCTGCATCTCGTCCGCGACGACGCCGATGAAGAGCGAGATGAAGAGCGTGAAGGAGAGCACGCAGATCGACGCCGTCAGGCGGCCCAGGTGCGTGATGGGCGCATAATCCCCATACCCGACGGACGTCATCGTCACGAAGACGAGCCAGAACGCGTTCGACCAGTCCGCGGACGACGTCTCGAGGTCGCCGTCGAGCGTCAGGCTCCGCTCCCAGAGCCGGATGTTGTAGGCGCCCCAGCACGTCGTCCAGAACAGGCCCAGGCCCAGGCTCATCATGGGGCTCCGCCGGATGATGCACTTGATGACGAACGAGTGGTTGATCGTCACGTGGTTCAGCGATCCCACGGCCATGACGTTCTCGTCGTCGTAGTAGGACTGCTCGCAGATGACGCGCACGAGGATGTAGAGCCGCAGCACCAGCAGCGCGTTGAGGTTGTCGAGGGGGTAGTGGGCCTGGTGCTCGTCGTTGACGAAGCCGACCTCGAAGCGCCACCGCGCCGTCGGGGGCACGTGCGCGAGGTGGATCAACACCTCGCAGAAGAGCTGGAATTTCGTGGGCGGCCGCTCGACCTTGCAGCGCCGCTGGTAGCGGTAGCGCACGAGCACGACGACGGCCGAGATCAGGCTCACGAGGCTCACGAGGGCCTTGAACGCCTCCGTCCACCGCGTGCTCTCCCAGTCCGTGCCGTGCCAGCCGAGCTCGATGGACATGACGCTGCAGGCGACGGCGGCGGCGTCGAGCGCGAGGATGTAGCAGTTGATGTCCTGGACGACGTCCCGCGGCAGCTTCACGGGCTTGCCGTTGATGTACTTGACCATCTCCTTGTTGACGCGCCGCGCCGACACGGTCACGTCCGCGATCTTCATCGTCCCCGTGCGGTCCCCGGTGCTGCCCCCGTGGCCCCCGCCGCCCCGCCGCGCCGGCATGGTCCGGTTACCGGGGTGGTCCGCGGGCGGGCGCCTCGGCGCGCCGCCGGAGAGCGAGCGCGCGCGCGTCGAGGCCGGCGCGCCGCTAGTTCACGGGACGCCGCGCCATGGACGGCTCGATGTGTTCCAAGAGGGAGGTCGCACGCGAGGAAGCTGCAGCGCGCGCGGCTCCGCGGCGCCGGAGAGGTCCGGCTCCGGCTCAGCGCGAGGCCGACATCTCTGAAGCTGCCCAGCGCTTCCTCAGAGGCGAGCCTCAACCCATATGGTTATATCAAGAGCGTGCAAACTACAACGTCTACCAATCGCGGTATCCACTGCGATTTTCGGTCGGGGCTGTGACATCATAATCGCAGTGGGCTTTTGGAAAGCTCGGAGTCCGGGCAGCGTCGACCGGTCTCGTGCCGCCGGTGCTGCGCAGTCGAAGCCCGGATCACAATGGCCTCGACCTTCGTCAAGGTCGTCGACGACGGCTACGCGAAGCTGCCCGCCGAGGAGGCCTTCCCGCTCGTCAAGGAGAGCACGCCGCTGCTCCGGCGCGAGGGCCTGAGCTGCGCGCGGAGCGTCCTGTCGCGCGGCTTCGGCCTCGGCGTCCTCGTGACGACCGTCGTGCTCCTCTGCACGCCGCTCGTCAACGTGCGCCACGGCGGCCACGGCGGCCACCACCAGGGCGGCGACCGGCGCAAGTACTGCGTCGCGCACGCCGCGTACGGCATGTACGTGCCCGTGGCCGAGATCTCGCGCAAGAGCAAGGAGGCCTACGCGGCGAAGAACGGCTACCGCTTCGTCGAACTTCTGGGCCACAAGAAGGAGGACTTCGTCGCGACGCACTGCCCGGAGCTCGTGTCGCAGATGGTCAACGACTACTCGTGGACGACGCCCGTCAAGGTCTGCGGCATGTGGGCCGTTTTGCGGGATTCCTGCGACTACGTGCTCTGGACGGACGCCGACGCCGTCATCGTCGACGCCGAGGTGTCCATCGAGCGGCTCATGGGGCTCGAAAAGTCGCCGTACTCGCGCGAGCTGCGGAGAGACGCGGGCGCGGTGCTGCCGGCCGTCTACCCCGAGGAGACGCAGGACATCCTGCTCTTCCTCAACCGGGAGTGCCCGGGCTACAACCACACGATGGCCCCCGGCGACTGCGGGCGGCCGCGCGACTTCGCGAACTGCGTCAACATGGGGAGCCTCGTGCTCAAGAGCGGCGCCTTCGCGGAGACGTTCCTCCGCCAGCAGCTCACGATGGCCATCTTCAACAACGACTTCCTGACGCAGAGCCCCTGCTCGACGGTGGACTTCGACTCCGGCATCGAGGACTGGGACCAGTGCAACTTCCCGCACAAGACGGAGCAGTGCACGCTCGAGTGCCTCTACCGCGTCCAGCCGACGTACTTCAACAGCACGATCTGCAAGAAGGCGACGGCCGCCGAGGACTACCTCACGGGCGTGTTGCTCGAGGACCGGTTCCAGCAGCAGGTCTACGGCGGCAACACGACGGGCAACACGACGAAGCTCATGGACCGCTTCAAGGAGAGCGAGCTGATGCCGTCCTACGACGGGTCCCTCGTCTTCAACTGCATGGGCGGCAAGCACGACGCCAAGCTCACCTGCGTCCGCCAGGCGACGATGCACTACTGGCCCGAGGTCGCCGACGCGGTCGCGGCGCTCTAGGCTAAGCCCTAGCTCATGTCCTTACGCTTCCGCGAGAGCGCGGCCTTGAGCGAGTCACGCAGGCTCGCGGCCGCGTCCGAGTTCGCCGCCGTCGACGCGGGCGGCGGCGGCCGCGAGAACGCGTGCGGCGGCGCGTCCGCGCGGAGGCCGCCGTTCGGCGGCCGCGAGAACGAGTGGGGCGGCGCATCCGCGCGGAGGCCGCCGCCGTTCGGCGGCCGCGAGAACGAGTGGGGCGGCGCCTGGCCGTACGCGGGCGCGTCCGCGCGGAGGCCGCCGTTCGGCGGCCGCGAGAAGGCGTGCTGGTAGGGCTGCTGCGGCGGCGCGTAGCCCTGGGGCGGCCCGTTCCACTGCTGGCCGTAGGGCTGCTGCTGCCGGTGGCCGTTCCACTGCTGCTGCTGGCCGTAGGGCTGGCCCGGGAACTGGTGCTGGCCCTGGAACTGGCCCTGCGGCGGGAACTGGCCCTGGGGCGGGTACTGGCCCTGCGGCGGGAACGGCGGCCGGCCGCCGAACTGGTGGGGCCGCAGCAGCGGGTGCGGCGCGGCGCCGAAGTCGCGCGGCGGGCGCGGCGCGCCGCGCGGCGCGGCCGCCATGGCCGCGTGGCGCTGGTCCTGGCCCGCGTGGTAGCGGATCATGCGGCCCGCGGACTGGAGGTCCGCGAGGCGCATGCGCGGGTGCTTGCGCGCCTCGCCCGTGTCGCGCATCTTGCCCGCGGCCTCGCCCGGCTTCCAGACGGCGTCGCGCTCGCGGCCCTCGCAGCCCGTGAGGCCGCCCTCGGACGTGTCCGGCGACGGCCCCACGGGGCGGCAGAGGTGGGGCGCCAGGTCCGCCGGCTCCGGGAAGGCGAGGTAGGGCGGCTCGTCCGGGAGCTTGGACAGGTTCAGGAAGGCCACGGGGAAGGGCGGTCGGGCGTGGCCCGCGCCGGCGGCGGCGAGGCCGAGCCGCGTCGTGTTCCGCGCGCGCTCCCCGTCGTCGAAGGTCGCCGCGACGGCGTCGATGACCGTCGTGAGCTTGCGCTCGTCGAGGAAGGGCAGCAGCGCGACCCACTCCCACTGGTGCTTGCGGCCGTTGGGGTCCATCTTGATCTTCGTCGGGAACATCAGTTCCAGGCCGCGCTTGCCCACGAGCCCGCGCGCGGTCGCCGCGGCCGCGCGCACGTCGTCGGACGCGTGCTCCACGTCCAGACCCATGACCAGCCGGCACGCCTCCGGCAGGCAGTGGGCCGAGCCCGGCGGGATCACGGCCAACAGCTGCGCGAGGGGCTTGAAGGGCTCGCCCGCGGCCTTCTTGTCCCAGAACGGCGGGCAGAGCGGCGCGTAGGCCGCCAGGTCGCAGGCGAAGGGCGCGTAGTGGCGCTCGTAGTAGTAGACCCAGGACGCGCAGCCGCTGTAGTAGTAGGAGAGCACCCACTGCAGACCGCGCCAGTATTCCCGACACACCTCCTTGACGGCGCGGTCGTCGGCGTCGAGCTTCACCTTGTAGTAGCGCTCGCGCCAGCCCGGCCCCTCGCCGAGGCCCACGGCGTCGTTCTCGTGCGACCCGTGCTTCTGCGTCATCTCCGCCGCGAGGCGCCGCTTCACCTCCTCCATGAACTTGTCCGCGACGGCCGCGTCCGATTCGCCCGCGTCCGCCGCGCCGGCCGCGCCGCCGCGCGGGAACCGCGCCTGCACGAAGGCCGGGCCCTTGGCGCAGCGGATGCGCCGGTCGGCGCCGTCGCCCTCGGAGTTGTGGGTCATGCCAAAGTCCTCCGCGATGGCGTGGACCTGCTTGCGGTCCCGCGACGACAGCGTCGCTTCCAACAACAAATCCGACGCGTCGGACCGCGCGAAGTCCAATAGCCGGTCCCGCAGCCGCTCGTCGGCGCGCTCCGCGGGCACGTGGTCGCCGTGCTTGAACTCGCAGGCGTCGCCGAACTTGCAGTGGCCGCGGCGCGTGAACTCCGCGCACTGCGTGTCCCGCTTCGGCAGGAGCTCGCGCTTCTTCCGCTTCGCGCGGCGCTCGAAGATGGGCGCCTCGACCTCCGCGAGGGCCGTCAGGTACTGGGCGGCCTTGGACGGGATGATCGTGCCGCCGTTGGTCAATAAGGCATCCCCCAGCTTCGCGCAGTCGCCCTGGCGCCGCCGGTACAACTCCAAGATCACGTCGAGCGCGCCCTCGCGGATGTCGAACGACGGCAGGTGCGGCAGGAAGTCGTTGCCGCAGAAGAAGCAGAGGAACACGAAGTCGTCGATGACGCGCTCGACGTAGGTCGCGTAGTCCATGCCGCCCTCGCGCGCCGCGGCCGCCGCGAGGGGCCCGCAGCCCTCGGCGAGCGACGCCTTGAGGTAGCCCCGGAGCACCCGGATCTGCACGAGGTGGAAGCCGTGGGGCGCCGCGTCCGGGAACTCGTCCTCGTCGGCCACGAGCGCCGCCGCCTCGTTCCCGAAGGCCGCCGCGGCCGCGTCGTCGCACTCCGGCGCCTCCCACTTCATCCGCTTCCGCAGGACGAGAAAGTTCTCCTCGTGCAGCGCGAGGCTCAGCATGATCAGGTCCGCGTCCTCGCCGACGATGCAGTGCTGCGTCGCCGGGTCGTAGCCCTCCTGCTGCCGCAGCGCGCGCACGTAGGAGATGATCTTGTGCTCGCCCTCGCCGGGCACCGTCGCGTCGCTGAGCAAAAACGAGATGTGTTTCCACCGCGGGTGGCTCCGCGCGCGCCGCGCGCAGTAGGCCCGCAGGAAGTCCGCGAGCTTGCGCATGAACTCCGTGCCCGGCGTGATGACGTTGTGGTCCCACTTGGCCGCCTTCTTCTCCGGCGCGGGCTGGCCCGTCGCGGCGAGCTCGTCGCGGAGCGCGTCCTCCGCGGCCGCGGCCTCGGCGCGCTCCTGCGCGGCGACGTAGCGCCGCGTGCGCTGCTGGTTCATCTTCGCCCGCGGCGCCACGCCGTCGAGGGCGAAGTACACGAAGGCCGTCGGCCGCATGAGCTCCATGAGCCGGTCGAGGTGCGCCTCGATTCTCCGCAGCATCTCCTCCTCGGACTTGGGCTGCGGCTGGCCGTCCTCGGGGTGGCAGCAGGGGTGCACGATGCCGTTGAGATCGAGATAGAGGTGGTCGCAGCGCTGTACCGGTTGGCGCCCCTCGGCCGCCGCGTTGGCGTAGGCGCGGTCCAGGGACTCGCCCTCCATGACCTCGTGCATCATCGTCGGGTAGCGCTCCCGGAGCCACTGGAAGAAGGCGGGGACGCCCATGGTGGGCTCGCGCTGCTCGCGGGCGCCTTTGTCCGGGTTTTGGTGCTTGCGTTGCTACTTGTGCGGCGCTTTATTGGTGCAAGGTCATCATCGCTCCATGCGCGCGCTGGAGATGCTGGAGAGAGCGGCATCTCCGGCTTGGTCTCTCGCGAGCAAGGCCTGTGGCTGTCGTCGCCGGCCGTCGTCGGGCGCCCCGTGTGCAGGGGCCCTCGCGCGCCCTTGGCTGCGCCCGAGCGCCAGCGATGTCCAATGAATTCTGGCTCCTGACGGTGCCCAACGAGGGCCGGACGCCGGAGCAGACCTTCGAGCGCCTGCGGCGCTACACGGACGAGTTCAGCAAGGGCTACCTCGTCCAGATCCCGTCGCTGACCGTGGGCACTCTCGACAGCCTCATGGCGCTGAGCGACGACATGGAGAAGGTCGACAACAGCATCGAGGTCGCGGTGCGGAAGATCGAGCGCCAGTACGCGGAGATCTGCGGCGGCAGCGGGAGGACGCGCGAGCCGCTGCTCATCGACGCCGTGCCCGTGGAGCGCTACCTGCCGTCCTTCGTCTGGGAGCACGCCAAGTACCCGCACCGGCGCGCGCTGCCGGAGCTCGTGGGGTCGCTGCGGTCGTGCGTCGGCGCCATCGAGGACGAGCTCAAGCACCTGACGATCACGTACGCGGAGAAGACGCAGAAGCTCGCGAGCCTGAACCGGGGCGCGGCGGCGACCAAGGGCGCCAAGGCGTCGCTGGCGCTGAGCCCGCTCGAGGACGTGCTCCGGCCCGAGCATCTGGAGGGCGTCGAATTCCTCGACACGGAGTATCTGGTGACCGTCGTCGTGGCGGTGCCCAAGCCCAAGGAGGCCCAGTTCCTCGAGACGTACGCGTCCATCGCGTCCGACGTCGTGATTTCGGACGGCGCGGCCTGCTCGCCGGCCGTGCCGGGGTCCGCGACGAAGCTCACGGGCGACGCCGAGGCGTGCCTCTACGCGGTGACGCTCCTCAAGGGCCGGCGCGCGCCGGGCAAGTTCGAGGGCGACGCCTGGGCGCCGGGCGCCTTCGTCGACTTCGTCCAGGCCTACGCGGCGGCGGCCAAGGCGCTCCAGTTCCAGCTCCGGCCGTTCTCCTACGACGCGGAGCGCGTCGCGCGGAACGAGTCCGAGCGCAAGGCGCTGGGCGCCGAGGTCGACCGCCTCCACGCGTCCATCGTGCGCTGGTGCAAGGCCCACTTCGCCGAGAGCTTCGTCGCCTGGATGCACCTCAAGGTCATCCGCGCGTTCGTCGAGTCCGTGCTCCGATACGGGCTGCCCGTGGACTTCGTCACCGCGCTCCTGCTGCCCCTGAAATTCCGCGAGCCCCAGCTCCAGGCCGCCCTCGACAAGATGTTCAGCCACCTCACGCGCGACGACGCCCGCGGCCTCGTCGAGGACGACGAGAAGGTCGGCGAGTACTACCCCTACGTCATCCAGAAGTCCGCCGCGCTCCTCGCGTAGCCGCCCCGCGCCGTCTTTGTCTCGCGTAACGCCGAGAGGACCGAATCGGGGGGTGTTGTGGTCCCGAGGGGGGGGCTGTCCATGCAACTTCGGGTCAAGGTCACAGCATCTTGAATCAAGCGCTCTCAGAGGCATGGAGGCTCGCGCCTTGAAAGGCCGCCGCTGAACGACCGCGCCGTTGAACGTCCGCGCCGCTGAAACCACACACCATGGCGGGCCACGTGCTCGAGCGGAGCACGGTCAAGGACGTCGCGGACGTCATGATGGGCTACCCGTCGCGGACGTTTACCAAGGTCGGCGCGCGCTGGCGCGTGTCCTCCGCCGTCGAGCGGCGCGAGCTGCGCTGGGCGCGCTACGGCGCCGTGTCCGGCCGGCGCGCGCTCGACGCGCTCGCCGCGGGCGCGACGCGCGTCGACGCGGCGCGCGGCTTCGTCGCCGCCGTCGGGGCCGCGGCGGCCGCGCGGGGCCGCGGCGCGGCCGCGCGGTCGGGCGCGTCGCCCGGCGTCCTCGCCGGCGGCGGCGAGATGTGCGGCGCCTTCGCGGCCTATTGCGACGCCTACGTGCGCGACGTCGAGGGCCTCGCGGCGGACTGGCGCGACAGGCCGGGCGCGACGCTCGTCGCCTTCGAGGCCGCGTGGGCGCCGACGCTGCGCCGCGGCGCCGCGGTCCGGGATCTGGTCCGGCGCGCCGCGCGCTACGACGGCGACGCGCTGGACCTCGACGCGACGGCGCCGCGGGCTTTAGAAGCGCTCCACTACGCCGCGGCGGCCCGGGGCGTCGGCGGCGCGCCGGACGCGGCCGGCGCGTGCCGCGCGTTCCGCGACGTCGCGGAGCCCTACGTCCGCGCGGTCGACGGCGCGCTCCGCGGCGGCGCG